ATTGTTCTCGTGCTTTTTTCTATCGCGTTAGTTCCACGGGCGCTACCTCGCCCCTTCGCCCCTCTGTCCCGAGATAATTTCTTAAAGCGAAGGCGCGCACGGCGATGAAACAAGGAAGCGAGTGGTTTCTTGTTGCTCTATATAGCCGTTCCACTATTTAGGTAATTATATCGGTAAATTAACGACGATACGACCATATGCACGATAAACAATAAGATGAATAGAGACGAGTGAATTTTCGATTTAACTTCTTTCTTCAACGATGCAAAGAAGATGAAGCGAGAGTTTTCATTGTTATCTCGGACGTGTAAATTATTTCCGTGTAAATTTGCGAAATGTGCGAAATTTATCAATTCGCGGCAGAACAATTTATCGAAAGTCGTGTCCTCACTCCGAGGACACGACTTTATCTAAATTTCCGGGGCTGAAATGACCGCGTAAAACTTATACGCGTCCAAGGATATATAATATTCGTTCAAATTACTTCTGTGCCGTTAAAATACTCCGACTGAGCTGCGCTAATTAAGTGCAAGAGAGATATGCGGGGCGCCGAATGGAAGCGAAGAAAATAGAGCACCCTGGCAATGTATCTGGGATACATCCTGTCATTTGTCATTTCAGGTTTGCGCTTGACTCGTCAGCTTCTCCCCCATTGTCTGCGCTACGGAGATAGTTTTGTCCTCAGGGAGAAGCGTATCGCGAAATCGGCGACACTCGCATCACTCGAAGATCGTATCGCTGATTTCCCGGCGAGTTTCGCGCAAACTCCGAGATCGCGACACGGTTCGACCGCATTGCCGAATCCTCAGCTTCGCTCAGAGACGAGGAAGAAGCTTTCCGAGGTCGAGAGTGAATGGCAGAACCGCAGTGCCTGCGCGACGGCATTCTACTTGTAACTTAATTCCTGTCTTTTAAATGCGTCTGATTATCTCTCGTTCTTTTTTTCGCGAATTTTCAAACGACTTTCTTTCTGGAAGAAAACTCTGCAATTTTAAGCAATCAATTAAAAGTTTTCTAAACAAATTTTTTATTTATGTTATTTATTATTATTAAAATTCGCCATTAAAGACAGAAATGGATATAGTCATCTTGCAATTTTTCATGCCAAAGTATACTTCGTTTGCTTCCATTCGTCGTATTTTAACGGGCTTAATGATCAATTTCTCAGCTGCACCGTATATTGCGCTTGTTAATAATACGGCAATGTTTAACAAACATTCCCTAGACAAAACCGCGACTCGCTCTGTCAAGATTAACGCTCGCATGCGGGTCGGTCGCAGTACGAATTAGGGAAAAAACTTGATGGCCCTGGCATTTGTAAGGATTAGAAAGAAAATAAGTAAAAACGGCAGCTTAACCCTCGACATTGGTCGCACGACGAAAATCTGGCACACCCTAATAATCCGGGGCGATTTCTCAAAAGACGATCTCGCGCGTCCTTTTTGCATTTGGCATTAATTTCCCTCGTTGCACAATCAAAATTTCTCAATTTCGTTCCTTTTCTTTCAAACCTACTAGCACGCGTTCATTAACCACAAAATATAGATATATTTGCAAAATTTTCTACTCTTATTACGAAATATATTAATTTCTGTTATACCTATTTTTTTCTAATCTTAAATACAATTTAATACATATATTTAAATATAAATTTCAAAACTTTTAAAAATATATCTTTTAAAAAATCTTAAAATATAATACAGTATATACTCAAATCGAAATTTTGATTCCATATTAATCCTGAAAATTTCATCAAACTTGAAAGATTAAAAGGGAAACTCGAAATATAACACTATACAGCTTATTGTTCTTTCTCGATATTGGAAACAGACTAAAAAAAAATAATTATTTCAGAAACATTTAATATTTGATTATCTTAGTATTCTCTATCTGTATTTCATTTTTATTTTTAATTTTAACAAGCAATGTATTAATTATAGAAATTACTCAATTGCAGATAGAATACATGAGAGATAAGCAAATATTATATAATAAAAATTAACGAATAAATAGATAAAAAAAAGCAACACATTTTTATTCTCATAATCTCATTTTTTTTCTTTTGACGTTGGAGATCTTGATAAAAAATCTTAAGTTCTTAAAAGAGCTGATAAAGAAGAAGCTGTAAAAATAAAGATAATAATTGTGTCCAATAATGCTGCTTGTCAATAGAAATTTAAATTTAGATTCCGTATAATACAAAGATAAACACAAATAAAAAAGGAGTTAGCAAATCCAAAATAAGATTTGCAAGCCAATGAGCATTATTAAACGAATAAATCAACATTTGCAAGATTTATATTATATTCTAAAACTGGTGTGTATTCATAGTTCAAATTATTTACAATTTTTTATTAAAACCATAACTAATTATAGATTTGTATTCATGGATAAGCATCCGATTGTTTGAATCAAATATTTCTTCTTGTATGAAATAAATACAGATATAAGTTAATGAATAACTAGAAATTCATGAAACTATAATCTATCAAATAATGACGAACTATGAATGCCAGCTTAAATTTCGACTCAAAATAATTTTGTTCTCGCTAAGTTCTTTAAAATTAGACTTATAATCAGTTATTTTTACACACCTGGAAGTATATGATGTATCGTTGCCCACCTTTCGGTGTCCTGATTTCCGAATTCAGCAAACTGTTCTCGGTTGCTCCATCGTGGCACTCCGAATTCTCACTTGTAGCACTGATATTAACACTGACACTCGCGCAGATATAACGATTCGATTGAACAAATGTATGTTAATTAATGCCGACCAGAATTCAATTAAATATTTCAAGAATCAGCGAAATATTTTACTCACTCAACGGGAATTATAACGCTACGCGTACTACGCATCGCGATATATGTACGTCGCTCGTCGGCCCGAGACGTAATGTACACTCGGAGAAGTACGCGACGCGCAAAGGTAACTGTGACCTCTTTGAAGGTATGGAATGTTTTGGAAGTGTTGATTGTTTTGATCTCACGGCCGCTCAGTGGCGGCGCCCAACCTAGGCAACGATGACTAGTGATTGACGAGCAATTGTTTTCGTATTCTTGCGCGTTGTGTACATTTCCATGACTAAACGTTACATTACGTCACGTGCTAGCCAGCAACGTCAACTTTCGTGGACTACGTGTATCGATGCATTTATTATTCCAATTTTTCGCGTCGATTCTTATATATAAAATATAAAATCAGACTCTCGTCAGTGTCCTCTTCATTTATACGCGTTTCTCTAATTTTATATTTACGCTAATATCAGTGCTACGAGGTAGTGTCGAAAATGCCATGAGCACGGAACAGTGGATGCTGGATCGGGAAGCCCGGACGCGATATTCATATTTCCGCGACATTATATATTTCCAAGAATGTGAAAGATATTATTCATTATCCAAAATGTTTCTTTTTTTATTTTAATAAATATTTGGCAAATGTACCGAAAATAAGGAGATATTCTGAGTCGAGAATTAGATCGGTATTCAAATCATCATTATTTGGCAAATTATAGTTTTAGGAATCTAATTATTCATAAACTTGTATCCATATTTATTTCATATAAAAAATGATTGATCCGAAAAACCGAATAACAACTTATGAATACAAATCTGTAATTAATTATTCTCAATTAAAAGTCGTAAATAATTTACAATTATAAATATCAGCTTTATATTTTTATATAAATATAGCAAGTGTAGATTTTTTGTTAGTCTAATAATAATTCTTGAATGGTATTCCATTTTCTTGACGTCTGCCCACAAATTTCTATTTCTGTTTAGAATTATTGTTATTATACAGAATAAAAATTTAAATTTTTGTTGTATATAGTGTTATTGGGCATATAACTGTTATTTTTTATCTTTATATATACAATAATCTTCTTTTTACCTATTTTATATTTCCGAATCCTATCGAAATTTCTAGCGACAGTAAAAACAATCAATAATAAAAGAATTATGAATAATAAAAAAATTATTTAATATTTATTTACCTCACATATTCTATCTACAATTAAATTACATAATTAATGTTTTTGTTTGACAAAATTCGAAATAAAGATTAAATGCAGATAGAACATATTGAGATAATTGAGTTAAGTAATTCTGAAATAAGTTGTTTTAAGGCTTAACATGGAGAAAACGGTAATAAATAATATTTACATCATCAAAATAGGACAACAATTGTATAATATTATATCTGAAAATGCTCCACATTAGTCCTACAAGTTATACAAAAAATTTGCAGAATTGATATAGAATCATATTTTGAATCGAGTACATACACACAACAAACTGAATCAGTGCTTCTAAGTCATAGCGAACACATTTACCCTATGTCAAATATTAAAATTCGACGGGCCGTGTAAACCCTGTTACCTTTCGACCGGTTTACAACGAAGTTTAATTACGTGGTGCCAAGTTTGATATAGTTAGGCCCATTGAACTGCCGGCAAGATTGTTTTACGAAGTAAATGAGGCAATGATGACTCGAGGCTTCGGGACCACCTAGCAGCCTGACGAAGTCCTTCCAGGCTTGCCTTTAAACTCCTTGCAAACTAATTAACGCGCGACCAACACATGTACACACACAGGCATCTATACGTACCCTATCTTCTCTTCTTCTTGCTTGCACGCGTTGAAGCTATCGTAGACTTTTAGAAAAATTTATTAGAAATTCTGAAAGTCTGCCCCCGTAATTTAGGCTGCTACTACAGCTACTGCCATAACTCATTAGTTGTAGACATGTTGTAGCACAGTTATCATTAAAGCAATAACGCGTTTGTACCAGACATATTTCTATTATTTTTTACGCAAATATTAAATTTCGCGTGCGTTTTTAGTTCAGCATTTAATATCAAAAACAATTTATGTACGTGTTGCCGTGTATAAGTTTTATTGTGTAAATTATAAAGGAAATCACAGAAGAGAGAGAGAGAGAGAGAGAGAGAGAGAAAGAGAGAGAAAAAGATAAAGAGAGAGAGAAAAGATACAAAATAAAAATATGTTTTGTTTTCTTTTATAAAGTTATTCCGCGAAATCAATATATCGCACATATATATTATATATAAGATACAAATAGATGGATTATGCAACACCGTGTTAACGTTGGCACGCGTCTTTCCTTCTCTTGTACATGTTAAAAGCGTGACGCTACTATTAGAGTGAATTAGTGCTTCAATAAAATCAAGAGGTACACGTATATATATATATGTATATATAACGTGAAAGATCTGAGTCCGGGTCTCGAACATATTGATAACAAACAAATTGTATCTATCTAGTACATAATTACACGTTTTAAAAAAATTAAAAATATATTCTGTTATAACGAACTTTAGAAACTTTCGCATTTATATTCGTATAAGTTTTCATAAATATACAACTTCAATATCATATGAATACACATATTAAATATAAAAAAAGTCCTCGTCTCTATCTCGTCTCGTCAATAATCCGCAAAAAATCATAAATCTGCAAATGTAACATTAAATCGATAAATTCACTCTTTGCGACTCCCGCTTTTTTATCTGCGATATCCTTCTCTTAGATATCACAGATCTTTTACCATCACGCTAGATCTTTTTAACAAATATATTAGAATAGGCATGGATAGACGCAACAGCATAGACTTATACTCTTTCTTATAATCTGTCGATAACGGGCGTGTATAAGGAGGATTGAATATATTCATGTACTTATATATGTATATATGTATGTATAAAAATATCTTGCGTTAAATCAGCTATCGTTATTAAACGTTAAACGAAATTGGCTACACGGTTATGTCCGATCAGGCAGATCAGCTCGGCACCAGTTCCGTTCCTGAAACAAAAATCACATACATCTCGTGTTCAGTCTTTCTTTCTCCTCCATCTAAAACATGCAGCTGCAACAAAAGCGTTAAACACGAACAAGCAATGTTCCTTTTTTCTCTCCTTTCCCATGTTATTTTCCATTACAGAAATATCTGGCGCAGTATAATCGAGAAATTATTACTACAAATTATTACTACAATTATTAAAACATGTAACAAGACATTGTACATGTAAAGTATATCAACATCATGCGAGAGAGATACGAAATTTACGTGACAAGTGTATGTGTCGTATCGCAGCATGCGCATGTCGTAAAACAGTTATCTCTATTAATTACATAATGCATTTATGTACACATATCAAATATATATTGTTTATATATAAATATACGATATCGTGTGATAGATTCCGATATAGGAGAGTAAGTCCTTTGACTTTTTTGTTTCTGTCTGTCTCGCTATTTTTTTCTTTCCTTACGTTCCTTTGAATCCCCTACGTAAACTTTCTTTTATCCCAAAGGGAATTTTCTTTATAGAAAATAAGCCAGGCGAGTCGATCAAAGCTCACTCTGTTGTTTCATGGAGGGTGAATCGTACAAGGATTTGTATACGTATGATTGTGTATGTATGACTTTGTAGACATGCTTGTCTGTATCTGTACTCTCACGTAGAGAAAGAGAGAAAGAGAGAGTATGTGTGTGTTTATGTGTGTGGGACGAAACGCCTTACGCATGACTGACTCTCCTAAAGTATTTTTCCACAGTGTGGGCGGAATGGAGTCTACCCTTTCGTCTGTCTTCTTTCTTAGCCGTGGAATGATTTCCTAAAGTATTGCGGAAACACGAGAGCCCTAACTTGACTGACACGTGACTATGAGATTGCGACAAAAACGCTACACGTGACAAAACGTGTCGATAGTAAAAGTTTATGGATCTATTTATTTAAAAAAATCAAACAGTCTCGATTTCTTCGCACTAGGTTAGAAAAGTTATAGGAATGTAAGCTGCACAAATAAAAAATAAGTAAAATCGCATACATATAAAATTATAGATAAGCACAAGCACAATAAGCGCGATAAAAAGGCAAATTGCTACAAGTAGGATGTACTGGTAGTTTCCTGGTTGAATCATCTATGCAAGAATCACATTTCGCGATGTAGTTATCGTACAATTTTCTGCTTTGCGTTCTGTCACATAAACGGAGGAAGCAGGGATAAAAGGACGAGCGGAAGCGAAAGAAATAGTTTGCAAACCGACCACGGAAATCCTCTAGTCAATGGTGGTGTTGCTCTTGGCGCTCCTTAAAATCACATTAAGGACGAGAACGGCGCCGAAAATGACGGGACAAGGGGCGAAGGTTCCATAGAATAAAAGGACGCGATGGAGTTAACAGGAAAGGAAGATGGGATCATAGAATGACACGAAAATTAAACGGCAAAGAGTACTGAAATAAATCGATAATATCGATAACGAGTATATTGGCTGTATGTGTGTGTGTTTGTGTGTATTCAATACTTCAAAGAACCTCTTATAGACTTCACTCAATAGCTTTCTTACTGAGTCGCATCAAAATTGATTAAGTGGTACATTCTGAAAGGGACACAAGTCAAACTTCAAGATGCAATTTTCAGACGTACGGATAATTGGCTAAGTAAACCAATGCATGTAATGTATCTATCTCAACGCGACTTGATCGATTTTCGATACGCGAGAAAATTCGAGATATATTCGAAATATATCTCGGTCGATTGAGAAAACCTAATTCATTAGTGCGACTGCATATCCACCACTCGTTCGGAGAAGAGTCGCTCTTGATACGTAAAAGAAAAAATTCGAGAACGAGTAGGAAAAGAAAAACAAAGACGCGGAGAATTAATTGCACCGCGATCAATGGGATTCTCGCGTAATGCGTTAGAGGTCCAAAGCAGAAAGGACCTCTCTTTCTCCCTCTCTTTCTCCCTCTTCCCGCCACCCTCGCCCCATCACGTCTTCTTCTGTCTGTCTCTCGTCGTAGCTGACTGTGACAAATAATTACCAAGGCTTAACATAAGCCAGAGGCGGTATACTTAGCTAATAGCAAAAAAGAGCGGCAATAGCCTCGTCTCGCTACGTGCGAGCGGCGTTTACCCAGCGCGTTTACGCCATGACGGGGGGCCCGCGCGGAATAGATTTCCTCGATTCTGAATTCCACCGGCTTTCGCGCGACGCATTCGTACAACGGCCAGGAAAAACTGAAGAAACGGAGACAGTGAAGCACGAGCACAAGTATCAGCGATTCGCGTCGCGGCGCATCCACGGGCTCGCTCTCCGACTTCTCTCTCTATCTATCTCTCTCCCCTGCGGAGAGAAAAATGCACGGTGCAACGGCGCACGGATGTAAACGGCTCTGACTCCTATTGGCGAAAAATACCTATCGCTCTCTCTCTTTCCAGATGGCACGGCGCGCTTGGGCATGCTCGGGGCCCATCTTAAACGACATAATAGTCAGAGCCGGTACCGCTCTCTCGCTCCCAACCCGCCGGCCTCTCGTTCGCGGCGGGACCCCAGCTCTCGCCGCCTAACTTATACTTATTATTGCATTACCTCGTGTTCTAGCATAATTCCAGCCCGTGGAAGCTAGCGGGGAGATGATGAGAGAGCCGGGAAAAAAGTCGTAGCAGGAGATACCTTCTTTTTTACATAATTCGACCGCATAATCCGCGCCCGGAGGTCAGCGCGCGCACGGCGTAGTCGTGCGCGCACTGGTGACAGCAGGTGCATCGTCCTCTTCTTCTGCTCTCACTAACGCGAGTAACGCTCACGTTAATGTCTTCATTACGACTTCATTCATCAAACCACCGCGCCCGGCACGTTTGTTTTTCTCTCAATATTCGTTTTCATGCTGGCGATCTCGGCATGTATCGCGTGAATAACAGCTTCTGTACGTCGCGAAAAAAGTCTTTAATTTGAGGCGAGGAAGACAGGACGATTTTTTTCAATATAGCCAAGTAATGTTAGAATCATTCGGAAGTTGTCTTGGTGAAACAAGTTGTCTCGGCGTAATTCATTTTGCGACATTCTCTATTATGCGCGAAGATAGAAAAGTGTGCGTGCAACTCAGCTCGGAGCTGTGCTGAACTTAAACTGTTAGTGCAATTTCGAAAATCACGCCTCTTAAGACATTAAAATATGAAAAACTATAAAACGTAATCAATGATAGGACATTTTCAAAATAAAGCCACATGTCGTAATGTTTACGGTGATGTCGGTTTAAAATTAGCAACTAAAGGAATATTAAAAGAGAATAAAATAACCGGGAGGAATCACGCGTGGAAATAATATATGCTACTAATTTGATACACGAGCGCCTCGTTCGACACTTGGCGTTCACCTAACGTATCCACCCCTCATCTCGTGAGAACTGGAAAGGGTGGCGGCTCTCTCATGAATGTGCCGCAGAGTTTCGTGAGCTCCTTAATGAACCTAGTTCGCGAAAACCATTAATAACGAAAGGTCTCGGCGAGGAAGCGCGGACAGGAAAAGAGAAGCCGATATTCGGCGAGGGCCAAAACCGCAGATCTTCCGTGAGAAACTCCTCGAGCTCGACGACAGGCTGCTTTACGATATCCATTATTTTTCTAAAAGGCAATTGCGCTGTATGTCTCACCGAAACGTAACCGGTGAATCGCGAAGCAATGCGAAAAGAAGAGAGAATTAGCGCGAAAATAATTCGAAGCGCCTCGCGACTCGTTGTTTGTCGAGCGAATAAGGCCTTAATGAAAGCTCTTTCTTCTCAGAGAGGAAACGCGGAAAACGGAGAGATAGTCGGCTGGAGGGTGTCGACTAGTCCTAATGCGACGTATCAATATACGTGGATGGTGGTGATGGGCCAATATCGCATAAGTGGCTCGATTCGCAGTCATTTGTTACATTTTGTTCGGTCTAAGTAATTTAAGAGTCACCGTTTGCCTTCCTACTGTTCCTCTCGTCTCCTCCGTCTCCCAAGTGGAAGACTGAGTGACGAGGGGGTCGGAAGAGAAAGCGGAAACTAAGAGAGAACAAGAGAATAAGAAAGGGGAAAGGGTGAGTTAGGTTGCCTGGACCCCGGTGGAAGTTACACTACGGCGAAAGGGAACGGGACGAGGGTGGTGCACTTCGCCTCCATTCTTCGGCAAATCGCGGCATATTTGTCAGATTTTTGTTCGAGAACAAAACCTCGCCGACCACCCCTGGCGCGAGGAAAAAGGGGGGACGTATAGAAGGGATGCGGCGCCTTAAGTGGATTGGTTTCGTTCGTTTCGTGTATGGCGCATGTGTATCTATCCACGGCGAATGCCTTAATTTCAAGCCGCTGGCAGAGATTCTCGCCTTTATCCCCGCTGACTTCTGGACCGCGCGAGAAATCTCCGCAAATCCCTTCCGCGAAATTACAGTAAACGATGTGGTGCCTGCATATCGTTAGCGTAACGATCATCTCAGGCTCGTCCCGAGTCGCATAATTGTGCGTGCACGCAGCCTCGGACACATGCAACGAGTTGATTAAGAGCTAATCTGCACCACACAACGTACGATGCTACCAAGTGCCGGAATTTCACACAATATGACAAGCTTATACATGCGCGCGTATGTATTTTGCATGCATTGTATCTAAAATATTTATGAATTAAACGTTCAGTATTTCTCTCACTCACCCTTGAAACCCTTCTCTGGCGACGTCGCTTCGAAATTGTGAACGTCGGACTCTACGTCGGTTTCATTTTCCACCGGTGCGTCGATCTGAAATCATAAATGCACAAGGCACATTTATAACAAATATAACAAGATGGACTTATTTGTTCCGTTACAGAAATCGTTACGTCTAATAGCTCTCAATCGCTGGTAAAATATGAAATTTTCGCAAGCAAGGTATGAATTTAATATTTGTCCTCGCATACATCCAATACGAGGTACGATCAAAAACTTGGAATTCTTAATGCAATAAAGAAGAGTGATTACAGTACAGATATTCTACATCGTTTCATCCGAAATGAGTCTTGGGGAGAGGGGGGCAGAAGGAGACGAGATCATCCGCATTAAATTCAAGCGACGCATCGGAGACACGTGTGAACAGCTGCCAACGGCTATAACAGCGTCTTCCCACGCGTCTTCTCGAAGCACATATGTGATCCACCAATTTACGTGCCCTTCCATACAATTTCACGACTGCGTCTTATGCCTCGTGTAAGCTACCACGAAACATACATCTCATATGTTGTACGATAACATCAAATAATATCGACATTCACTCAAGCGCGTAATTCAGGATGAAATATTTTTATCAACAGACACACAGATGTACATGAAAAGACGAATTGTCAAACAAGAAATTCGTCAAGACATATACGCGATAGCGCATAGCTAAATCGGTAAAGGAGAGAATCTGCGATCATTAAAAAAGTTCGCATGGGAATTCGAGTGTAGAGTGTAGGTGTGATTACGTCTCTCCGAAACCCCTTTTTCCCATAGAACTAAATATAGCAAGTGTCATCCGAAAGCTTGGACACACGTGTGTGTCGTGCGATGTTGGTACGAGCACTAACATCTGGTTGGTATTTCCTGGCCGCGACACATCTTCTGCAATATGATTTATTTTCAAGTATAGGATCCCAGAGATTCGCCACGATGGGACGCGGTGTCGGCAGGAGAGGATAGTCAAAAGCAAAGTGAATATACAGTGGCCGGAGCAAAAATAAAGTAACGTGAAGAAAGAGAGAAGAGGAAAAGGAGAGAAAGAGAGGCTACACAGTCGCCGTTAAGTGTTAAGACATTTTTTAGCATGTACGTAGCAAAAAAAATAATAGATCGTTTTCAAATTACTCGTACACTACTTTGAAAAAATATTCGATAGAAAATAGAGCGAATTTCCTTGCATTTCCTTTCTCTCGACTAAAAAGTCGTTAAAAAACATTTCGCCTATGATAACTTTTAAGCGGGAAGATGACGCAGTTTATCAAAAACTATGGTCTGATCTCAACGTCATCGTCGACGTTGATCGCTTCCGATCGAGGTCGCTGGCATTGGGAGTGCATAGTTTCGATGGTACGGATTCCCCGAAGTTCTTTCTTTCATCACCAAACATTATTCTCAGGCCTCCTCTCTCTCTCTTTTTCTCTTCTTCCCTCTCTCACTAGCAGCTTCCTTGTCTCACGGAGAGCGCGAGAGCGCGTAAAGAGGAAGACAAAGGTAGGGAAACCAGGTAAAGAGCGTTCTACACGGGTATAAGGCCAGTTTTGAAATGCTCGGCAATATAGTGAGTTCGTTATGAGGCTCGCCCCGACGTGGTATGGCTCATAATTGTAGACTCGGGGTTCGAACCGTGCACCTCCAGGCACTACGTTCTCTCCGACTGACACCTATTGTCCGCAAGAAAGTTCCGCGGACTCGTCCGAAAAGCGCTTCAATCGCTCGCCGGAGCGAACGGGAAAAATTGTCCGATCGTCATCCGCGTTAGACGTCGATTCTCGCGGATCGACCTGATCCGGCGCGCGTGATTTCTTGCCGCGTGCGAATCGGACGCAGAGAACGCAAGGCGAACGCGGACAAAACATTTCATGGCCGGGCATGAAAATTATTAGCCCGAGAATGTCTTAATCCCCGGCAGTGAGCCCGGTCCCGCGGTCTTCGGCTTAACATAAACTTTTTTTCCGACCGGGACTCACCGGGAGAAACGCTCGCTCGGCGCGAGCTGACGGTCTCGCGAAGATGCGGCTAAGTGTGCTGGAACGCGGCGCAGTTCGGCGCATAATGTATGTGCAACGTCGAACGGCACCCCGTTTATTTCCAGGCTAATGCACGGTTTTAAGGTACGCCGCGGTGCGCGCGCGCTTTTTCCACCGCTGCGCGATCGCGGTGCCGGTGTATCGCACGCTTTATGTTTCTATCGTCACTTTAGAAAACGAGCGCACGAGATTTTGCGCGAGTTCGCAGAGACAAGCACCGCGCAACGTCGTGTAGGCGCAGAAATCGCGATTGAAAATCTTTCTTTGGAAACAGCACGTTATGATTGAATATAAGATCAGAGATATGTCAGTTACATATTAATGCATGATAATTGTTTTTTTTCTATTAGTGATTATCAATTTGAAAAGCTACTCGTGTTTTAAATTGCTTCTTGTCTGTAGAGTTTTTCTGTCTGTTCCGCGAGAAGTGATTCTTTCCTCTCTTTCTGTTGTTTCCCTTCCTCTCATCTTCTCAAGCAAGTAAGACTATCACGTATACTTAATTTTACAGTATACTTAACTATACGTGCAACTCGATACGCACTCGTGCATTTGAAATGTGGAGAAACACGTGGAATAACAAACGCTTCAGATAAATATCTTTTGTATTCTCTCGCTCAGACATCATTAGAGTAGGAGTCTTAAGTTATTCCCAGGCTGTCCTGAGTTATTTATCTGTCTGCACGCGTAGGGTGAATCTTACCACCTCCCCCTTCTCCTCTCCCGCCTCCTTCTCGACCACGTCTTAATACCACGAGCCGCAGAGTTAATAAACCGACATAACGGCAATTCTCAGAGTTCCCAGCTTCCTTCAGTTTTTGACTGAAAGATTAATTCCTCCGAAATTTCAACCCCTTCTTGAAACGAAAAATGACGAGAAAATAAGGTATCGTATATTTGCGAATTTTATGTATCATACGCAATTAAAAAAGACAAATCGAATAGAATTCGCGTAAAATACATCAGGAAAATTTCGATGTTCTTTTGATCGAAATGTACATTTATGATCGATCAGCACAGAAAGATCGATGAGATTTTCCCGGTCGCGACTGATATCTCGGTTTATTCATTTTCAAAGAAACATTCGGTCGCGACAAATCTCCAAAATGAGAAAAAATGAGAAAGAGATACACAAAGACTTAATACAAGTTAGTCGTGGCGAAATACCGCGGAGTGTATAAATTCAAAGTAGATTAATATTGTCTCCGTGGCTGTCGCGGCGCCAAACTTATGGCGCTAATTCGGCGGAGGAATTATTACCGGGGGCTGCCTCTCGAGTCATCCCCGCTGGCACTCGTGTGTTTTGCGAAAAGGGGGCTATCTTGTCTTTAATAGAAGCCGTACGTGCCTAGCAGGATTCCAAGCGACGCATCCGTTAATATTTGTACCTCGGCTCTTTCAACAAGGAATCGTCTCGATGTGGCGAGAAACGTCAGTGATATTTATGAATTGTCATTCGCGCGATAAATATAATGTGCGAAATCAGAATTTTGTATCGCGTTTGGTATGACTAGGTGAACGAAAGAGGCTCAAAGCGTATCGATGATGTAGAAAAGCGGAAGCAACTTTGCGCAGCTTTTTTTAAGGAAATTAAGGACACCTCGCATTGTCTTTCGTCCCGCGGAGCAGCGGAGAAGACGACATACTACAGCTGTTTAGCATCCTCGATGAAAAAGCCGCTGGTAATTATTCAAATTATTTTCAAGGGCCATGCTTTTCGGTAGACCGCAGCCGCTACGTGGCGGATGTCTTTATACTGTCTCTCCCTACGTCTACCGGCTGCAGAAAAAGTACAGTGGCCCTGTCATCGGTCATAAAGCACAAACGAAACATTAAGCGTAAAAACAACGAGAAGAAAAATAATAAAAGCCGCAAGGCGTCCCTCACGAGAGTCACACGATCCCGTATCACTATGATCCACATCCTTCTAATGTGAACGACACTTTGAAAATTATACGCCAACCTTAAACATAAAACATGAGTGGCGTAATAGTTTCTTCGTCGTTGCGTGAAATATTCATAGTTGTGAAACACAAATGCAATTGAAAATATCCATCGTCACTGCATGATAATGCGAACACGACGCGTCAGGGAAGAATAAAAGAGGGAAGGGTGGGCGCGGGAATACAGATGATAGAAAAGGAGGTGGAGATTAGCTGGAGAAGAAGACGCTTTTTAGACGGTCACCGACGTTGCGGAGGTGTTGTGCGAGGAGTGACTGATGAGTTTTCCGCTCGATTGGATAACGGGCTGGGTTAGTAACACACACACACACACACACACACACACACACACACACACACACACACACACACACACACACACACACACACACACACACGCGCGCACACACACACACACACACACACATTCGCCGCGTTTCTGGATTTTTTCCAGTTTCCCTGCAGCGCGATGACGTTTGACCTAAATCCCAGCCGAGATCCAACACGAAGCGCCGAGCACGAGAACTCAATTTCAAAAGATACGTTTCTCGCGTAGAAATATATATTTCGTAATTAAATTGCGATCGCCCGACAACAATGTAGATTTATCGTGGACCCACTCGATTCGCGGCTCGCCATTCCGTTCAGACGAAGTAACGCCTGAACAACGTTGAACGTAGACGCTCCAAGTGCTGTCGATCGAGCGAACGGAGCATCGCGGACGCGGCACTTTAGGCCACATCGTCCATAAAGAACGGACCATGCTTCCGCCAGGGACAAAGGCCGCCTTCATCACGAGCACCGTCCTCTACGCTCTTTGCTCGTCCTCGCGCTCGGGCCGCGGACTTTCGTCGATACAGCTCTCGGAACGAGCTGAGTGAACGGTTCGTGCTAACGTTGTTGCAGCACGTGGGCTGGCCGCCGAATCTCGCGTAAATGTCATGCACCTGTCGTGTAAGACAGCAGTACGACACGGCACGTATCGTTTAGCATGATGACGACGAAATATCATTCGATTGAAGCCTCAGAGATTGAAGCCTCGTGGAATATTTTATTCCGTATTGTAATTAAACAG